ATATGTCTTGACCTCTTCCTTAGGACATTCCAATGCTGGCCTGTGAAAATAACTCCCTACCTGTTGCTATGGTAAAATAATCATATGTCCTGACCCTGACAACTTTCCTACCTTCTTAAGCCAAAGCTTATGTCAGCTAATACAAGATGTCATGGGACACTTAGCATAAGAGCATGGGATTATAGTAAAGATATAGGACAATTTAGGCTATGTAACTGCTATACTATTTGTGCTTAATAAATGCTAATGTGTAATGGTAAGGATAATATATATAAACATGATATGTATGTTTGCTAACCAGCATATTGGTCAACAAATCCCCATTTGTCGCCTTGATAATTGTTATAGTTAAAACGACTCCTTTGCCAAATTACTATATGAAGGGGGAGGGCTTTATATGTGATTTAAAGTGTTTTACCAAACTGTATAAGTGACAATACATAATTAATGCAGCTAAAATCAATACACAGCTTTATATGCAACTTCTTTTCAAGCATGGGAAATCAGTATCTCAAGATCCCCATCATGGATAAGGTCATTCAAGATTTGTTTTGCCTTATACACCTCATTTCCAACTTGAATAATGTGTGTCTTTCTGATCTAGTACTGTTTTTAAATATAAAGTAAGTGGATTAATATGCATGTTAATAACTAGTAGGTATATTTCAACTTCCTCCTAATATTGGGGCTCATTTTGGATAATAGATTTATTCTGAAAAACAGGGATAGGCATTATTATAGTGCGTCCCACAATGCTGTGTACATGAGGAATAAAACAGAAATTTAGAGTAGCGACATTACAAGTGAAGCCTCCATATATACATTTCTTGTAGTTATTACAAGTATAGCCCACTCATATTATAGGTTACCCTTACTGCTGGTTGTCATCATTTGGTAAGCTTCACCAGGCAGGCGACAGAGAAGCTAGCCACTGTTATCTGATGGTACAGGTCTGAACCATCATGGCCACACACTGGCGTTGTGATGTCAAAAACAAACCTGGCACAAGAAGGTATGTGAAGAGGTATTCAGGTGTTTGTTACTGCGTAACACACCAGTAGTTGATGTCAATCCAGTTATTTTGTGTGGATGCTGTCTTCCAGATAACCTGCTGAATGGACAGTAACCATTTGTCAAGGATCCAATATCAGTAGTGATACCATAAATTTTTTTGCCTGGAACCAGACACTGAGCAAGACTATTTTGAATAAAATGTGCCTCGATTAGGATGAATGGTACTAAAAGGAGATCGGTCCACACAATTTAACACATTTTTTGTTGTGCACTGAGGACAACATTTAGCTGATTGTTTATCGCTAATAAGGTCAAGCAATTTTCCTTTTTGAGTGTTCCCTAATGAGTTGGTTATGGTAGTTAACATGTTACTCCCATAAGTGGTACAAATAATTGCTTTACCTTCCTTATTTTCCTTTACCTTTTTATTTGTTGCAATTAATTAAGTTTTGCTTGTTTGATTAAACAGCTTAGGGATGTTATACATATTATACAAAATATACTATTGGTTTTTTAAGTAGCTAGCCCTCAATACCATGAATTAGGAGTTTGGAGATGGTTTCCGCTGCCTGGTGCTCAAAATAGTTAACATGGGGTTTTTTAAAATATATTTTTCATATAACCCCTTTTCTGAATAGACATTCCAGTTCCAAATAATTCTGAAAGGTAACCATCTAGACTTTGGAGTCTCCTATTTTGAAAGACACCAGCCTGGGGAATAGTTTTTTTGCCCAGCCATTGAGTCTTCTGCACATTCCTGATAAGATGCAATTATGTTAATTAACAAAGATGTATACAGTAATGATACATTTGCTCTTTCACACCAACCAAATTCAGCTGTATTCCAATGAGAGATTTAAAATCACAGGTACATGCTTAATATAAAGTTAGTTAGACCTGGCCAGGCTAATGGTCTTTATGATGTCTCTAGAGACTTGATTATGCAATTGACTATAAGGTGCCACAAGTACTCCTGTTCTTTTTGCAGATACAGACTAACACGGCTGCTACTCTGAAACCTGTCCATATATGGTAGGCTGAAGTATAGACTGGTCTGTTATGTACAACACACTATCTTTTCTTCAGGGAGCCCAGGCCAAGAGTCCCCACTTCCCCAAGGGGTGGGGATTTTGAGGGGGCAGGGGTGTTGCGGGGCAGTTGCCTCACTCCTAAGCAGCAAGCCTAGGCTGATTGGGGGAAGCAGCCACAGCTGGGGCCAGGCCCCCAATCAGGCCACAGCTGGCCCTATAAGAGTGCTGAGGACCAGGGGCTGTGGAACTCTCTCTGTAGAGAGAGAAAGACCTGGCTGCCAGAGAGCTGAGGAGGGTACCTGAGTGGACCAGGGCTGGGGAAAGATTAGAGACGCTGGGGAGCTCCAGCCTGGAGAACCTGCAGGCCTTGCTAAAGGCCAGGAAAAGTACTGGGGTTACAGAGGTATAGCCTGGGAATAGGCACAGGCAGCTGGTCCTACCCTCTTGCCGATGATGAGTGGTTTAGATTGCAGTGAGTGGGGCTAGATGATGATTGGCAATAGCCACTGAGGCAAGGTGGGGATAGAGGGTGGGGGGGTTCCCCTGGGTGGGGAGACCCAGAGTGTGAGGGCACTGCCAGGGGGCAGCACCCCAAGGTTAAGGGGCACCGGAGTCTGGGAGGGATGGGGGGGGGGGGGTGCCAGCGGCAGGTGAGACACCAGCCTGCAGCTGGTGCTCTGGGCTGGAAGAGCTAATTCCCAACCAGCAGGAGGTGCTGCACTGGTGAGTCTTTGCACTGCTACAAGGAGGTTTGGAATGTAAACCTTGTTTTTTCAGGCATGTTAAATCTCATCTACTGTATAATTTTGCTCAGACTAAAATTGGATAAATATTCAGCCTCGACCCTTTCCCTTGCTCTGTTGTAATGATCAGGGCCCAGAGGGCCTTCTCTGATTATGAGCTTAATGTGTCAAAAGTGGGTAAAAGTTTATAATTGTCAGTCACTTGCTATAGAACATTATTTAAGAAAAGAAGGAAAAAGGAGACTGAATTAAACAGAGAGGATCTACTGATAACACCCAAGGATGGTACTTAAAATCATGTCTGGTAAACAAGAGGAGTATGGGACTTGAAATCAATGGACCAAAATTAGTACTTCAGAAATTAGTCCTAACTGGTGGACAAAATAAAGGAAGGGCTATTGTGCCCCTCACCCCCTTTTGGGGTCCTTTTAGAGACTTTGTGAGGGAAAGGAAAAAACATTAGCGCTGCTGGGGGATTTTCATTGTGACACATGAACCTTAGCACACCAGTGGGGATTCCTAACCAGGGCTGTCCTTAGGCATACGTGGCTGCGCAACCAAAAATTTGGGGTACCCCTGGGTCTTAGTGTCCACCTTCCCGCCTCTTCCTATCCCTGTTCTGATCCCTCCTGCAGGCTTCCACAGTTGGCTGCTGCAGCCTGGTGCCTCTTATTCCAGAGGGGATCTCGTAACTTAAAAGTGAAAGCCTTCCGGCCTGCCAGACCTATTAGTACAACAGTGAAATGGTTAAAGAGTCATTCAAGTGGTAATGAAGCCATTTAACAGGCATTTGCCAACTCCCAGGTATATACTATCAGTTTCTGAATTTACTGACAAAAACAGTTGTGCTGCTCGTTGGGGCCCTGGGTGCCTGGGACCCGTGTACCGAACGCGTGCGGAGGACCTGTGGGGTGGGCCGTCATTACGCACGGCTCATGAGACGCCTAATGGTCTCTGACACTATCCGTTGGTCCCGGGACATCTACATCGAGCACATCACCGGCCACCGCCCATACCGAGAGTGAGCCGGGGAGACCTCGTGCACCCACAGACCCCCCTCCCCCTGCTGGACTCTATCCCCTGAACCCACCAAACCTAACTGAATCCCACCACGTGAGGGTCACCCCATCCCCATTATCCAGCCCACTTACTTATACCCATGACTGTCTCTACTTCCTGTATGGGTGATAGACCCTTACCGCTTATTGACTGTTTCCTGATCCCACCCACCGGTTACCCACCCCTCATTGGGGACATTGCAGTCTGTATATACAATGTGTGCTGCCCAACCCCAAAACACCAACATACCCCTATACTCTGTATGTTACCCCCAATGACCAATAACTGACGCTTCAAATTTTCTGTATCGTTTATTTTTTAAATATTCTCTAATAAAATTTAAACCTGTAATATTTACTCAGAACATGTTAGTCTACTGGACTTAGTTTAAAATTTGCTTTAAAATTTTTTTAATTAGTGTGTTGCTGAAGATGATAAAATGACATCTCTAAAAATCCTTGCACAGACTTTTAGATGCACTATCTGAGTATTCATCTGCCACCTTAAATGCTTGGATCTTCAGACATAGTTTTTGTTAAGGGAGGTCCTTTGAAGGATTTATTTATCTAAAATACACACTTTAATTTTAATTACTATAGTACAAAAAACTCGCTTCCAGAGTCTTCCTGTCCATCCCTTTCTCCCTCCACCCTGCCCTCCCCCCTTCTCCCCCCCCCCCCCCCAGTTGAAGAGAGCCCTTAAAAGGGACTGAGTGGTTTTTTCAAATGTTATTTGCT